AATATAATTTTCTTTCCGTGTAGCTAAAAAAACGCGAGTTTCTCGTTCTTGTGTCATTAGATAAATAATTAACAATTATGCCTATTAACAATAAAAATGAGTGCACATCTGAAAATATTGTGCAAAAATTATAATTATAAAATAAAAATAATGCCTAATTTTTCATTTATGTAAGAAAAATAAATTTCTTGAAAAATCGAAATTTATATTTATAACTGCTTTGCTAAGTTTGCATAAAATTTCATATTTGTGCCTTCAGAAAATTAATTAATGTCAGTTTATTACACCTGCAACTTCAGTTTTCCTTCAGGCAAAATTCAATTCCCTGGTTAAACAACCGGACAGATTTCGGATTAATCCGAATTTTGTGCAGTTTATGGTCAGGTTTTTGTCACCCGAAATTAATCCGAATAAATCCGAACTCTATACTGTTCGTGAACAACTATAGTGATTCCGGAATTTATCTGAAACAGTGCGATTTATTGTCAGGTTTTTGTCATCCAGAATTAGTCCGGATAAATCTGAAATCAATAACGGTTTGTAAACAACTAGTGAATCCGGAATTAGTCCAAAACAGTCAAAAATTAGTCCGGACAATTCAGTGAATATTAATAAAAAAAGAATTATACATTAACTTAAAATTTCTAGCGCTTGGGGATTCGATCCTACATCTATCTAATATTATAACGCACCGAAATCGAATACACTAACCACTATACCCTAATAAAACTATTTGCTAAATCCATAAACTACTGCACTACAAGACTCTGAAGTTTTAAAAAAAAATCTTTTTTCTTCATACCTCGGTCGAAAGTACGTACTTCCCTCTGCGATTTCGCAGCAGAAAGTCAAACATTTGTGCTTTGGTTGATTTTCATACCCAACCTCTATTACAGCGGGAGTAAAAGAATTCTCTGTCGGTAAAAATACCACTGTCGGTAAATAAGAAAATTTCGAGTTCAATGACAATTTAACAACTAATTGTTATCGCAATTGGCGATTCAAACAGCTAAACTAGCGCATCTGGTGGCCGAGTTTAAACTAATATATACACGACTCCCTGCATGGTGTTCAATGTAAATATCAACATTTTTAAAGTTTTTCAGTTTTATTTTCATTATATTAAATCAATTTTTTTTCTAAATTGTTAACCTTATTTAAATATTTATTAAATAAATTATAATAAATATGGATAAGAGCATCGTTACTCATGAACAAAAGAAAAGAAAAAACGGGATCGAAACAATTATTATGTTCCGCTCTAATTCTAATAATTAAATAATTCTAATATTAATAATATTATATTTCTAATAATCTAAAATTCTAATTTTATATTATTAATTTAATGTCTATAGAGATTAAATTAATAATATATAATTAGAAGTAATATAAAATTAGAATTTTTGTCAAACATATAAAAACATAACCAAAAAATGTTCTTTCTAGTTGATATGTAATCTTTAGATTTAAAATTTGTACTGCAAACTTTCATTTTGTCGGTTAATTTTTTTCCTGTTTTAAATGCAATAGCCTACTGTTTACGTCTTACAACATTTTTTGGAAGCTGATAAAGATTTTCTGTTTTTTTTTCAATTCAGAGCGAATAACATTTGTTTCGTTCTCGTTTTTTCTTTTCTTTCTGTCCGCGAGTAACGATGCTCTTTCAAAATTATTATAATATATTTAATAAATATTTAAACAAGTAGAACAATTAAAAAAAAACTTGATTTAATAGTGAAAATAAAACTGAAAAACTATAAAAACGTTGATATTTACATTGAACACCATGCAGGGAGTCGTGTATATATTAGTTTAAACTCGGCCACCGGAGGCGCTAGTTTAGCTGTTTGAATCGCCAATATAAAATGAGAAAAAAAATTATCCTGAAAACTTTTTATACTTTATAAATTTATTATCCACAAGCTCTGAATATTGAAATGAACGAAATCTTTTGCCGATATAATTATTTTCAAAACTTATTTTAATAAACAATAAAAACAAAAATAAAATAATTAAAAAATTTTTAATTTCTTTTTTAATACGTACCAAAATGTTATAATAAAATTTAAATAATTTGAAGAAATAATGAAATTGTGTTCATTAGAACGTTTAGAATTTTAGAAACATAAAATTAATTTTGTACCACCAGAAAAGTTCTTTTGAAAATATAATATTAATTTATCTTTTTCACATTTTTTTTCGTGCCTGCCCCCGACCAGAAGCACTCGCTTCGCTCGTGCATCAAATGTCGGGGCAGGCGAATATTGTTTGCAAGAGAGAGACAGAGAAAAACCAGAGCTTTGCGAGTGTCCGCTAGAGGCGTTAAAGCGAGGAGCAAAAGTAAATAAAGATGGCCGGCTGTCAAATGAAACACGATTGCAATTTTCTTAAAAAATAAATTAGCGAGCGTACTTTCGACCGTATATAAAGAAAAATAGTATACATTACACGGGCAGAAATTCGAAAGCCCTAAACTACGCGATGATGCCCTCGGCTTCGCCTCGGGCATCATTTCGCGCAGTGCAGGAATTTCGAACTTTCTGCCCTTATAATGTAATATACTATTTCATATATATTGAGAATTCTATGAGTTCAAATGAAAGTTCTGTAACCAAAAAAATGTCGAATTTTCATAATTACTTATAAAACTCTGATCAGAACTCCTAAAACTCTCAATATATCAAAAACTATTTTTTTTAAATTTCAAAATCTTGTAAGTTCAGTAGTTAACGGTTTTGGCCAAAAATGTTATTAGTTTTCACCAGGTGAAAAACGATAGGCAGAAATAATAAGAAATTTTCTGTTTTCGTTTATTCTTTTCTCAAATAAATTCTTACAACTTTAAAAAGTTAAAATATTTCAAATTACAATAACGAATGTTTCAACATGACTTAAAAAATATTTGTAATGAGTTCTGCCATAAATTATATACTTTTGAAGACCAAAGAAACATATCGCATTGAGGGACACCACTGACATTTTTGAAAGATTTCACTGATAATTTTTTTTGAATAGTGAGAATAAAATCAGCTTATAAATTACAATCCAGTATCAAATCTTCATTAACTGCATATAAGGAGTAAATTTAACACAAATTTATTAAAAATAAAATAATAAGATACAAGAAACAGAATTTTGAGGGGACACCACTGACAAGGGACACCACTGACATTTTGCTTCATTTCTCAATTTCGAAAAAGAAAGACTTTATTTTTATGTTAAAGTCGTTGCGGTTTTTAAAGTACGTGTAATAACTGAAAATGAGATACAATAATATTTAAAAAATATTAATATTATTGTAAGAAATGTAACAATAGTACTTATATACAAATTTCGAGGACTAAACGATCCACCGACAATTAAGGAATTCAGTCTACGACGAACTGTCGCGAGAAACGGGTGTAAACAATATTTTCTGATATTAATAAAGATCTTTTATTATAATCAACTTTAATTCATTACAATATCAGAAGTGGGATATCAGACCTAATTACCCACTAATCAACCGCGAAAACATCCTGAAAATTAGTTTTTTTTTATTTTCTCGTGAATTTTAGTCGTCGTAGAACTCGATTCAGTGTAGCGAACGTGAAAAACTCTGTTTGGTGTTTCTTTTTGTAAAATCACGTTTCGCGAATTTTTGTGACTGTTTTCCGCTTCAGTTACGGAAATAGTTAAGTGTGTAATTTGTATAAATTGGAAATTTTTGTATTTATGTTCCGAGGTTTCCATGTAACACGTGGCCCAGAATTGCAAGTTCTTTTTCTCGTACGAACAGTGCATAAAAGTGCGGAAAACCCTATAAAAAACCTGTTAGAAAAGTGAACGCATAAAGTGAAGTGCATTTTGGTGGTGCAGAAACTCAGGATTCTGTGAATGTGAAGGTTTGGATTTCGAGTGGGGAAAAATTTTGTTAATGGCGGTTGATAGACGCTTCAATTAGTTTCCCAAAGTGAACGTGCTGTGGCATCATAATCGCTGAATTTTCGTGAAAAATCAACTCTACCAAATCGACCGTACTCGGATTTCTTCGTAATTTCTGAATAAAGTGGGGAGTCCCTACTCTTTCTTTGCCCATGGATCCCACTACCTTCACAGTAGCCACCCTCAAGGCGGTGTCTAGATCACTGGGTTTGACAACTGTCGGAAACAAGGCAGAATTAATAAGGCGACTGCAGGAGAAAGATCCTTCTGACGATTGGACACAAGAGGGAGAATTGATCCAAGCTAGAGATGACCCACGAAAGAATCCACATATGACGGAGAGTGATGATCATAGTACGCACGACGAACAAGATGATGCTGATGATGCGGATGCACGAGAAAGGGAATTACAATTAATTAGACGAGAACATGATTTGACTCGGCGCGAGTTGGAGCTCACAAGGCGTGAATTAGATCTTTTGCGTGGCTCTACTGCTACTCCGACCATTCAGCAACCGTCATCACATCCAAACATTCATGCGCTAAAGGATCTTTTGAGCGAATTTGAAGGTTCCGGTGATGACTACAGAAGATGGCGAGATCAACTTCTGTTATTAATATCCATTTATTAATTGAACGAAGAAACTGGACGACTACTGTTGGGGTCAAAATTGAGAGGGAAAGCACTTCGATGGTTTCATTCAAGATCAGAATTCGTCGGTATGTCGGTGACAGAGTTGCTCACTGGACTGGAATCAATGTTTGACCACCGGCAAAATAGATTGACTTTGAGGAGAAAATTTGAAGGACGCAGCTGGAAAAATTCAGAACCATTTAGTGACTACTTTCACGAAAAGTTAATTTTGGCAAATGCTGTTCCTATCGACGAAGATGAATTAGTTGATTACTTGGTAGATGGTATTCCGGACTCCTCCTTGCGTAACTAGGCCAGGATTCAGCGGTTCAAAGAAAAGTCTGAACTTTTGAGTGCATTCGAGAAGGTCACCTTGAAGGAAGATATTGTATCTGCACGTGAGGTTAAAAAACCTACTTCTGTGGTTCCTGGTAACGAAGTTATGGCGAAGGATGAAAGCACAACAAAACCTTTCAGTTCCCAAAGATGTTTCAATTGCAGTAAAAATGGTCACATTGCGGCTGACTGTCGATTTCCAAAAAGACCTGTCGGCGCATGTTTTAAGTGTTTCGAGCTGGGACACCAGTCCAAAGATTGTCTTAAAAAAAGAATTCAACTTCAAGGGAAAAATCAAATTGCAAATGTGTCAATGGATGTACCTGATGACCTTGACTTGGAGAATATTTTGGAAAAACAGTGTTTCAAGACGATTACTTATGAGATCGACGTTGAAAAGGAGATTTGTCTTTTGTCTTTGGACACACTTTTTGATACCGGAAGTCCCATCAGCTTCATAAAGGAGAGTCGACTACCAGCAGGCAGTGTGCAGCCATGTCCTTCTGATTCGTCTCAAGATTACACCGGAATTAATAACAGTGTATTAGTAAGATTAGGATTAGTAACAGCAAAGGTAAGATTTAATGATATCGAAACTAAAATTACTGTTTATGTTGTACCAGATAACACGATGCAGGTTTCTGTCATTTTGGGACGCGATGTTCTAAGTAAATTTAATTTGGGTTTGTTGTCATTGTCAAAAATTGAGGTAGAAGCCATCGGAGAGATATTCGCGATTGATCATGGAACTGATAGTGTTGTCGATTTTATGCAAATTAATCCGGACATTGACTTTAAAATTAAATCACAATTAAAAAATATTTTTCTTGAAGAATATATAAATAAGGAAAGACCGGAATTTCCAAATGTAAATATTAAGTTAGTTTTAAAATTAACAAGTGACAAGACTATCATGTTTGGTCCGCGAAGACTCTCCTTCGAAGAGAAGATCAAATTACGAGCGATTCTCGATGATCTTGTAGCTAGAAAGATTATTCGTGAAAGCGATTCAAAATATGCATCACCAATTGTCCTAACTAGAAAAAAAAATGGCGATCTGCGACTGTGTGTGGACTATTGATTTATGAATAAAATATTAGAATGCCTAAATTATCCTTTTCCTTTAATTGAGGATCTGATCGATGGTTTGCGTGGTAAATGTTACTTTACATTCCTTGACCTGAAAGATGGTTTTCATCACGTTAAAATGGCAGAAGATTCAATAAAGTATACTGCATTTATAACACCCTTCGGTCACTTTGAATTTTTAAGAATGCCTTTTGGCTTAAAAACAGGTCCAGCAATGTTTCAGAAATTTGTAAACAAAATATTTAGTGATTTGATCAGATCAGGTGACGTAATGACTTATCTCGATGATATTCTTATCGCGACGGATACGGTTGAACGTCACTTGGAAATTTTGAAACGCGTTTTGTTTTTGATGGTCGAGAACAAACTTGAACTACGCATGGATAAGTGCAAATTCTTGCAGTGTGAAGTAGAGTACTTGGGATATAAGGTTTCTGCTCGTGGGATAAGTCCAAATGATCGAGGAATTAATGCTATTACTAATTTTCCGGTACCGCGCAATGTGAGAGAGCTACAATCGTTCCTAGGAATGTGCGCCTATTTTCGTAAATTTGTCGCTGGCTTTTTGATGATAGGTAAACCTTTGTATGACCTTACTAGAAAAAATACTGAATTTGTATTTGGTGAAGAACAATACCGTGCTTTCGAAACTCTTAAATCAAAATTGATTCAGTCACCTGTCTTGGGCATATACGATCCGAAGGACGAAACCGAGCTCCACTGTGATGCAAGCATGTTGGGTTTCGGTGCAGTTTTATTACAGCGGAAAAGAGACAACAAATTTCACCCGATAGCTTTCTTTTCGAAACGCACCTCTGACGTAGAATCGCGCTATCACAGTTTCGAGCTCGAGACACTTGCGATTGTGTATGCCTTAAGGCGGTTTCGTGTTTATTTACAAGGGATTCAATTTAAAATCATAACCGACTGTAACGCTTTAAAATTAACTCTTGATAAAAAGGACATTAATCCGCGCATTTCCAGGTGGTCCTCGGAATTTGAAAATTATAATAAAACCCTCGAACATCGTAGTGGGGAGAAAATGCGACATGTAGACGCTTTAAGTCGAGCAGTATGCGTTATGGTCGTCGAAGACAATACGCTCGAGTCGAACCTAATTGCGAGTCAAAATATCGATACGAAAATAGTTGAATTGCGCGAAAAATTGCAGGTCGATGAAGATAAACTTTATGAAATGAGGAATGGTTTAATATACTGTAGGAGGGCAAAGCGTAAAATAAAGTAGACAAATATTAAGGTGTCAGGCTAAAGTCTTTATTCTTTCAAGTGCATGAAGGAACTGATCATTTCTGATCCTTTACAAGGTTTGCAGATTTACCTGCAAGGTAGCTTACCAATAAGTGCGAAGGTGGGGGATCGCAGGTCATTTGTCGTCCGTAATTGCCAGGAGTAAGAAAACAGATGTTTTATTACTCCTGGAAAAACCCAAAAAAATGAAAGTAGGGAAAACCGAAAATCTGAGTAAATATTTCACTCAAGACGTTCATAAAAGAGTTGTAAAATAGTTGTTCACTACAATACAGAAAAAGAAATAACGCGATATTATTTTATGTTCCCTCGAATATGGAGAATAAAGTTATTCATAAATATCACGACGAGATGGGACATTTTTGCGCGGAGAAAACTTCCGAGGCTATTTTACGTAATTACTGGTTCCCGCAATTAAGAGACAAGGTGAAAATTTATATAACAAATTGTTTAAAGTGCGTCGCGTTTTCACCAACCACGGGTAAAAAAGAAGGCTATTTAAATATTATTCCGAAGGGTGATGTACCATTTTTGACGTGTCACATTGACCATTTTGGCCCAATAGACAAAAGCTCTATCTCAAAGAAACACATTTTGTTGATAATCGATGGTTTTACGAAGTTTACTAAATTATATTCTGTAAAAACAACAAACTCTAAAGAAGCTATCGATTGTCTGCGAGATTATTTTAGAAATTATAGTCGCCCGAGATCGATTGTATCGGACCGTGGGACATGTTTCACTTCGGATGAATTTAAAACGTTTATTGACGAAAATAACATAAAACATGTACTAGTCGCGACCGCATCCCCGAAAGCTAACGGGCAAGTCGAACGCGTAAATAGAGCTCTTGGCCCAGCATTGGCAAAAATCTCTGATCCTACGACAGGAAAGCTTTGGCATAAAATGCTGTCTGATATCGAGTTCTCTCTGAACAACGTGGTACACAGCGCAACCGGGATTACGCCAAGCAAATTATTGTTTGGCGTTAATCAAAGAGGTAAAGTAGTTGACCACGTGGCAGAATATATAGAACATACGCGTGACGAGGACAGAAATGTCGAGGAGATGAGAAAAGCCGCAAGTGAAAAAATTGTAAAATGTCAGGAATACAATAAAAAACATTTTGACGCGAAAAGAAAAACTCCTCATAATTATGAAGTTGACGATTTGGTTGTTGTGAGAAATTTTGACAGTACAGTGGGGGCAGCGCGAAAACTTATTCCCCAATATAAAGGACCTTACCGTGTTATAAGAAAATTGAGAAACGACAGATATGTTTTATCGGACTTAGAAAATTTCCAAGTGACGCCAAAGCCGTATACGGGCACGTGGGAAGCGTGTAACATGAAACCATGGTATTCTGACTTTGTTGCGTTAATATGCGAATGTTACCCGGAACATTTTTCCCCGCGTAGCTGCTGAACTTTAATTGAAATTTTGTAAAAAAAAAAGAAAGAAAGGAAAATTTGTGTATAAAGCATTTAATTCGAGGCGAATTTTAAGCAGGATGACCGAGAGAGAGAGAGAGAATTACTCCGATTCCTTTGTATTTGAATGTTGCATGAGAGTTTGTTGACATACTACTTTAATCTATAATCCCCGGATTGAGTGAGTCATGTTTGATGGATTCAAATGTAATTATAATATTTAAGGAAATAGATATCTTTTAAAGCGAAGGAATATTCCTCTGTATGTGAGGCCTAAGTGCGAAATTTTTGAGAAAGTTACTTTTGCAAATTGCTTTATATAAGACTAATTTGGAAAATGACGTTTCCTGAAAGTTTCGTAAAAGAAAAAATGTATATATATTGAACGAGAAGAGGGTCTGGAGTTTATTCGACGAAGTGTGTATCAACGAATGGCCATCACATAGAGAATATTTGTAATGATAAGCGGAAAATGTATGTGTGAATATTTTAGAGTGTATCCTAATTTAATGTTAATTTATGATTCCTTAAGAAAACGACGAAATAAATATTATTGACGTATCGCAGTTTTAAGGGGAAGACCCCACCTTTATTTTAACCCCTTTAAAATAAAATTATTAAAGGAGGTAATATTTTTTTTCTTACATCATTTTTAACCTGAAAACATATAAGATGGTCAAAAATATTTAATTTTAATTTTTGAAGAGGTTAGAATTTTTTTCTTCTGACCTATTGCTTATTATTGCAAATCCATGCGAGAAGTTGTTTAGAATGGTAAAATATGCATGGAAAAAAATTTTCGTTAAAAAATATTAAAAACTGTAAGAGAAGATCGATTTTTAATATTCAAATCTTTAAATTTTGCCGAAATTTCGGAAGCCGTAAATCTTTGATTTTTTTCCAAATTGTGTATATTTACGTAATTTGATGCTACTATTAAAAAACATTGTTAAAATTTATATTTAGCTCATTTTCGTGGTAAATTCCATAAAAATCATAGTCCGAAGCTTTTATGGTATACTTTATTATACCGAAATAAATGCAAAAAGGCATGATTTTTATAGTATTTACCATGAAAATAAGCTAATCGTCAATTTTAACGATGTTTTTTCGACTCAGCATCAAATTGGAAAAAAATAAAGGTTCAGGACTTCCGAAATTTCGGCAAAATTTAAAGATTTGAATATTAAAAATCGATCTTCTCTTACAGTTTTTAATATTTTTTAACGAAAATTTTTTTCCATGCATATTTTACCATTCTAAACAACTTCTCGCATGGATTTGCAATAATATGCAATAGGTCAGAAGAAAAAAATTCTAACCTCTTCAAAAATTAAAATTAAATATTTTTGACCATCTTATATGTTTTCAGGTTAAAAATGATGTAAGAAAAAAAATATTACCTCGTTTAATAATTTTATTTTAAAGGGGTCAGAATTAAGGTGGGGTCTCCCCTTAAGAGACATTTTAATTCAATATTTATGTTATGGTGTGAGTGTGAGAATGATTGTTTTAATTGTAATGTGCGAAAATATGTGTGCAAACATTGTCTGTTGTATCAAATGACCGATTTATATTAATAAATATTAAAAAAAAAAAGAAGAAACCGTACGTCCACCAACTGTAAGAAAAAATATATAACAAAAAACTATAGTAATGAAACTTGTTTATTAATACACTTATGTACTTCGGGACGAATTACAGTCAGGATGGACGAACTGTAAGAAATGTAACAATAGTACTTATATACAAATTTCGGGGACTAAACGATCCACCGACAATTAAGGAATTCAGTCTACGACGAACTGTCGCGAGAAACGGTTGTAAACAATATTTTCTGATATTAATAAAGATCTTTTATTATAATCAACTTTAATTCATTACAATATGAACAATTTTTTAATGGGGATACCACTGACATGGTGTGCTCGACAAACTGATACTTGCTTTCTGCCCACCAACCGTACAAGTTATACGTATGTGATAGAATGTTGTAATGTTTCTTCTTAAAGAAGCTATATACATATCACCAATACTATTAACGCTTAAGGCCAGGTTCCTCCAAAGAACGTGTTTTTTTTAAAACCAATTTTATTATATTATAAAAAATATTTATCAACCAAAGTTTTTATAGTTTAAAAGGCATATAAGAATACTAATTAAAAAAATTGTTTTTTATGCAATGGCAGCTCCAGAATTGGCTGCTGTAGAAAATGTTTTTTGTTGGTGGGTGACGCGATAAAAGTCAACAACGAATCATCTGAAAGCAAAAATCAAAACGGTTTCTTATTCT